GGGCGGGTGACTCCGGGCCCCTAAAGCGGACAAAGTGACAGAAGCTGCCGTAAGTTCCCCCGGCCTCTCCCCGCCCCGGCTGCCCTTGGGCCATGGCCACAGGCTTCTGGTTAGCAGGCTGAAACCACACGCTTCAGGGGACAACAGGGGACTGTATTCACAGCCCAGAGCAGCTGGCTCCTGCGACCCAGGCAGGGCAGGGGAGGGCAGGGCAGGGCTGGGCTCCGGAGCCAGGAGAGGCCAGCTGATGGGCTCCAAGACGTGCAGGGCTGCTGGGGCTCGTGCAAGGGGGGAAGCTGGGCTGCTTCTGGGCTGGGAGGGGGAGGGGGAGGCGGAGGAGCATGTATCAAGCAACTCTTGTGGGGGGCGTTCCTCCAGCCAGCCGCCCTTTGTTGGCTTTGGGACAGGGAGTGATTGGCTGGGTGAACAGCTCTTGCCCTCTCCTGCCCCATAGGAGCTTGGAGGTGGGGTAGGTGCGTGACCCACAGAAAGGAGACATGGAGAGAACAGCTGCAGCATACGTGAACTGCAACGAGGAAGATGAAATGGTCAGTGCGGCCTGTTGGGGGCAATGCCACGAGCAGTGGGCTGTGCCCCTGGATTCTGGCCCTCTGACCTTTGCCCGTTTCCCTCTGGGCTGGACTCCCTGGCGCAGCGCTCAAGGCCGGCTCCCGTCCACGTCGCCTCGCCTGGCAGAGGGCCATTGGTCCTCCTCCCCAGGAGCTGCCGAGCTGCTGCTGGCCGGGGTCACGTTGAGCGGGTGCGCCAGCGTCTGACTTGGCTGCACCCCCCCGGGCCGAAGAGCCGGGCAGGCTCTCCTGTGGACCACCTGAACCCACCTCCAGGAGCGGGTCCTGGAGACCGGGGGAGACTGGGCCTCCTTCCTTGGGAAGGGTGAGGATCCCCGCTTGCTTGGAGGAGTGTGCTGTGGCCCCCCGAGAAGGACCCACTCCGGTGCCACGGGTGGCCTGATCCTGGTCTCCCCCCCAGGAAATCGTGGGCTACAGCCCCTGCTGCTGGAAGCTCGCGCTGGTCTCGCTGGGCACGGTGTGCAGCGGTGGCTTCCTTCTCCTCTTCCTCTACTGGCTGCCGGAGCTGAGCGTCAAGTGGACTTGTCGGGCCGTGCCGTTGCGGGACGCGCGGGTTGTGCTGCTGAGAACCACGGTAGGCCTGAACGAGGCCCTTCCTCCGCTGGCCGCGCTCCCTTGCAAACCAGACTCTTCGCTGGCCGGGACGCGCTCCCGTATGTGCCCGAGGGCCGAGCGGGAGCATCTGGGCTCAGTGAAGCAGGCATCCGGATGGGGTGTGAGGCGCTTTCTCAGGTCTGGTTTTGTGCTCCATAGATGTGCAGCCCTCTGCCCCAGCTTTAGACCATTCAATTAGGGCCCCCGGGCCACTTCTCCTCCTTGGCTGTGGAGCAGGTCATGGCAAGGGGGGCCCCCGGGGCAGAGGCTGCTCAGGTGCCCGTCTTCTTCCTCGGCAGGACGAATTCCAGACCTGGTCCAGGGAATGGGTCTGTTCTCTCCCTGCCCCGGGCACCGACCCCCTGGGCTTCCCCCGGCAGTCAGAGAGCAAGAGGCCCCTGTGCCAGGTGGGGACGACGGGCGATGGGGGCTGTGAGGAACGGCTTCTCTCC